TGTGCATTGTCGTGCGCGCGTGCGCATGTGAAAGCGTGTTGGTGTGCGCATGCATCGGTGCCTGTGCCTCAGTGTGTGTTTGAGAGAGAAAGAGAGAGAAAGAGAGAGAAAGAGAGAGAAAGAGAGAGAAAGAGAGAGAGAGAGAAAGGAGAGAGAGAGTGTGCGTTTGTGTGAATATGACTGTGTGTTGGCGCTGTGTGGGTGGGTGTTTGGGTTAGTGGGTGTCCGTGTGTGTTGGTGCATGTTTCCGTTTGTGTATTTTGGTGTGTGCGCGTGTGCATGTCTGTCTGTTGCGTCCGTGCGTGTGTGTGTGTGTGTGTCTATGTGTGTGTGTGTGGTGGTTGTTGTTGTGCTGGTGGTGCGCGCACGCTTGTGCCGTCGCGTGGCGTGTGCGCGTTGCTGCTCACGCGCTGGCATTTTGCAGGTGTGCGTGCGTGGGTTGGTGTTCTTGGCGATGTGTGTTGGTGTCTGGTGAGTGTGTTGGCGTGCGTGTGCGCGCGCGTCTGAGATTTCGTTTGTTCATGCGCACTGTTGCTTGCTGGCGTGCGTGTCTATATATATGTAGCTGACATGCGCGCCACCCACTTACAAAGAATTCAGTGCTGAGTGCAGGGCGCGCCCCAGAACTCGAGCATTCGCTCCATGCGGTCGTTCACGAACAGCGCGCGCCATGACGGCTGGCAGCCATTGCCAAGGTCACGCATGAGGCCCCACCTGTTCACAACCACGGTGATCAATGCGTCCCTCCACAAGCGGTCGCCCTCCAGCAGGGTGAGTTGGGTGCCCAGGAGCGCGCAGCCCTTCTGAGGTGTCCTGAGCGAAGACACCGCAAACCAGCAACGTGCACAGCGAGAGTGGTGCAATTGCGTCAGGGTTTTTTTAGAGACTAGGCAAGGTGCTCAGGCGTAAAGAAAGCATAGTGGTGCTCGTGCAACAACTGCCGCAGGTTGCTCTCGTAAATGGATGGCGGGGCAAATGTGCGGGGTCTGTGCTGCTGAGCTGTGGTCCCCACAGTCCCCACAGTCCCCGCAGTCCCCACAGTCCCCACACTCGAGGCTGGCTGCTCTGTTGAGGCTGCCTGCTCTGTTGAGGCTGCCTGCTCTGTTGAGGCTGCTTGCTCTGTGGAGGCTGCCTCCTGTGTGGGCACCTGCTGAGTGGTCTTTGCAGTGGAAGCCCAATCTGCAGGTGAGGAGGCTGTGGCAGCCTGCTGAACCTGTGTGGTTCCCACACTGGAAACTGAGTCAAGCTTGTGGTCTGGCCTTGTGGCAGCACCAGCAGGCACCTCCCCAGCAGTAAGCTGCGAGGCTTCCTCTGCAGCTGCGCACTTTTGGGAAACTTCCTCCAACTCAGGCGTTGAGGCTTTCTCCGGTGCCGAGGGGAGGAGCGCTTGGGGAGGGCCCCACGAAGCAAGGGCAATGGTGATGTATGTGGTGACCTCAACACCTTTGGTGAGCTTGAACATCTTTTTCCCGACCCAAGGGAGGGAATCAAGCTCGTAAGTGCCATACGCGAGCGTCTCCTCGATTGAGGTGCCCTGGATGACTTCTGGATGCTGCAGGAGTCCTGGGCACAGCACAGTAGTCTTTTGACAATGCGCCACACAACCCGACAGGTTGAGACCCCAGTATTGAAACGCGCCCTAAAGCTACACACACACAGAGACACGCAAACACACAAACACACACACACACAGAAACACAGAAACACACACTCAGAAACACAGAAACACAGAAACAACAGAAACACAGGTTTAAACGCACAATCGCACAAATAACACACAAACACACAAACACACAAGCACACACACACATACCCACACACCCGCACACCCACACACCCACACACCCACACACCCACACACACACACACCCACGCACCCACGCACGCAAGAACCCACGCACCCACGCACCCATGCACCCATGCACCCATGCACCCACACACCCACGCACACGCACACAGACACAGACACAGACACAGAGACAGACACAGACACAGACACAGACACAGGCACAGACACAGAAACAGACACAGACACAGACACAGACACAGACACAGACACAGACTCAGACACACACACACAGACACACACACACACACACACACACACACTCCACACTCACTCACTCACTCACTCACTCACTCACTCACTCACTCACTCACTCACTCACTCACTCACTCACTCACTCACTCACTCACTCACTCACTCACTCACACACACCCGCCCGCGCACCCACCCAGCCCATCCACCCAACCCAGACTACAAGTGACAAGGCGGTGCACCTGTCCATCTTGCTGCCGTGCTTCGGAGTGTCACAATCAGCTTGCTGACCGGGAACTCTGTGTCCAGGTCCTGCTGCAATTCAGCCTGCAGCAGGCAGAGACATGCGTGCGAAGGGACCCTTGCCAGTGACAGTCACCCTGGCTGCCACCGAGCCACATGTTGGAACGCCAGGTGGTGCCCAAATCTTGAAGGCTCTGTTTCCCCAGTGTCCTCATTGTTGACCCTAACTCTGATGGATTTCTTGCTGTACTGCATATGGAAAGGTGTCACATTCGCCGGGGTGTTGTTCACCTGGCCAGGGCTCTGAGGATTGACTGCGTCAAGTGATTCATGTTGCCCGGGCCTCCAACATTTTGATGCGGAACATGGCCAATGGCAGCGCAAGCTATGCTGGAGGCTGTGAAAGCAAATGCTGCTAAGCCAGCAAGTTGACTTGCCACCAAAGTGCAGCTTGGCACCCCTAACAACATCGATGAAGTGCAAGCACCGAGCAAAACCCTCAGGCCGGGGCAAAAATGAAGACCTTCTCTACTCTGAGCCACACTGAGCAGCCTTGGCTGAACGCATTCTGGCAATTGTGCCATGCAGGCTCCATTGCCGAGGGCCCGACAGCTTCTGAAATTCCTCATGAGCAATCGCAGGAAGTCTGCAACACGTTGAAGCACGTTCGCCCTGACTGCCCGTTGCGATGTAAGTGTGGCAGCATCAGCCACCCCGAATTCAATTTTCAATGAGCATCCAACAGATCACAGGCGATTAGGGGATGGTTCAAAAACGCTTCCTTTGAGCTTCACTTGGCCCCATCATTCTCAGACTTGCTCTTATTTTCTTTTTTCGGGGAGGGGGGCTAGCAATTTACCTTCCTTAGGGGAAACCTAACATCCAGCTCACAGGTGGATGACCAATGCCCCGGGCAGCGCGGCTGCTAAGCTCCAGGCTGACGAAGACCGACGAGCAGAAGGCCTGGCACTGTGTGGGTCTGGGAAGCTCACAGCAAGCTGCTTTTCCAGGCTGCTCTGGCAAACAGAAACAGCCTCAGCGCCTTCTTGGCATTGCTGATTTCAGTTGGAAAACATGAGAATCTGGCATGGTGACATTGCCAGAGATGCCCACATCTGACTGAGGCCACGGACGGAGGCATCCTCCTCATAATGTCCGAAAATTATAGCGTTGGCCAACCACCTCAATCATAGTGACAGTTCACAGCTATCCCCTGGCCAGCGTGTTCACTGCCTAAACGGTCATGAACATGCGTGAAGTGAAGTGGTTGAAGCCAGGTCGGAAACCTACTCTGCTTGCGTTTACTGCCCTGCTGAGAAGCGAGCTGCGACGCGCTAGGATGCACATCACCTGGCTCAGGCACACCTCAGCATGGGAAGGGTCTTTAAAAAACGCTTAGGCGTGAGAACTCTGGCTGTCAGTCACAGGGCTGGGAAATGAGAAACCCTCAGGATAGGATGTGGGAGGAGCAAGGTCCATGTCAAGCTGTTAATAAAACACGCTTTCTGGGGCTACACGCGCCAGCTGCCAGCCTGCGCCCTGCGAGGCCTCTACCTGCCCAACGTGGACCACAAGCTTCGCGTAGGCCCCAGAAAGAGTTAGAGCAACTTGTGGGAGTGACAGTTTGCACACCTGGTGATCACGCAGTTTTTTGCTCCACACTCAAGCTGCGCCTGGCCTCCTCCTGCTCCTCCTCGGAATGCGTGGTGATGCCAAGCCTGCCACAGCTGCCAAGCGCAAAGGTGCTGTGGCTGTTTACGCAAGGACTTCCTCCAACAAGAAGGCCCCGCAGCTCAAGGCCAGCCAGGCCCGCCAGCTGGCAGCAGCGAAGACCGCAGCTGGCCTTGCTGGGAAAGGGGCCAAAGTGGTGAAAGTGGGTCCCGAGATGTGGAAAAGCGGCAACTACTGAAAGCTATCCAGTCAGGGCAGTTTTCGCATGTGTACTGCAAGTCCCCACGGGCAGTAGCCCGGAACGTGATGATCCAGGAAATGCTCTACGAGACCAGCAAGGCTATTGGAACCCAGATCGTGGCGAATGATGCCCCGGACCTGTACAAGCATGACCCCAGCCCGGCAGAAGCCTTCATCAGGCGCGTCCTGGGCGCCACGCAGCAGTTTGATCGCGATGTGGTTGTGGACCGCCTTGCCAAGGGACGCGAGCTGGCCCTGGATCATGCAAAGGCAACCGGCAAAGCCAGAAGGTCGCAAAAGGGGTCTTTCAAAATGTGTGGGCGCAGCAGCCTAGTGGAGGAGCGATTGCGGAAGAAGCCCCTGACCAGCTCAGAAAAAAAAGAATTGAGGTCACTGCGCAAAGGAGTGCATGAGAACCGCATCAGCAGCCGGACCCTGGCCTTGAGGCTGGTGCCGATCTTTGGCAGCCCGAAGCAGAAGAAGCAGAAGGGAAAGCCTCCGATAGCTCATACCACCGCTCTGCGCATTGTGAATGAGTTGACCTTGAAGAAGGTGGTCTGATTTGGGGCTTCTTCGATTTTCAGTCATTGGGTCCTATGTGTCAAAGCCAATGTCAAGTGAGTCTCTGAGCAGGGTTCCTCCCGAAAATTAAAGGTTAACCAACCCCCAAGGTACAAAATTGTTTCCAGTTGTCTGGCCACTGGGTTTTCGGAGCAACCCTGAGCCAATGTAGCAGAATGCCCGACACACTGCGCGAGTCGGCCACAAAAGAGGTGACCCTCAAGTTTGCGTCTTTAGCCTTGTGCCCTCAGGTCTCTCGCGCTGCAGCCAGCAGGAGTGTGAGAGAGGGGATGTGGCCATTCTGAATTGTCATGCCGCGCTGCATCTCGCGAATTCTGGGCATGTTTTCCCGCAACCACTCAAAAGGGTGACGGTACACATCCTGATTGCCCAGGAAGCACATGTGCATGGTGAAAAGTTCTAACGGACCTGTGTACTGCAATTTGGGAAACCATGACAGGGCATTGAGGCCAGGAATCTCTGCATCCAGGGCCTGGCAGTGAAGAGTTTGGTCTGGGAAGCTGCTCTGCAAGTCTAGCAGAGTAGCTGCAGGCCCACAGGTCAAAGAAGCCACCCCGCACCTGAGGGAAAAGCTCGGGGGGCTTATCCCAGCACACGCTACTCTTTCGACCCCACACCTCCTCATGCAAGCCAGCGCGGACATGCGAAAAACCCACTTCGGAAAATAGTCACCGTGGAGCGGCAGAGGTGTTTTCAAAGGTAAGGATTCTCGAAATAGTGCAAACTTTTGGTCGTACTCTTCCAGGGTTGTGGGAGGGGATTGGAGGACATGGTGCAGCCTGTCTGCGGGGCCCACTAGGTCTTGCAACCTGGCCATAGTGTCTTGCACATCGTCATTGAGAATGTACTTGCTGGTTGCGCCCGGGAAATCCAGCTGCAGCTGCTTCGCCTGTGATGATGTCGCCGATGGCTTCCTGGTGCCGGACGGGTGCCGGCAGAAATTAAATGACCGCCCTGCCCCCCCCAGAGTTACAATCAAGGCACTGTATGACTCGTAGGCTTTGCAACATGGCCAGGAAACCCAACAGGCGAAGCACACCTCCCTGGGCAGTGTTGGCTCTCCAAACTGAACAATCCACAGCTTGCATTGCAATAGCGGCTTGCCGAAGAATTGCGCACAGCAGCCTCAATCGCGCTTCCACCCTCCGGGCGCGCTCCTCACCAGAAGTGGGTCCCCAAATGCGCCTGCGCTTGGGTTTCTGGTCCCCAGGTCCGCACCCTAGCTCAGAATGGAGGCTGCCTCCTGTGCTTGGTGGTGCCATCAAATCTTCAGGATGGAGGCTGCCTCCTGTACTTGGTGGCACCATGGTCCCCAAGTCCCCAGCCCTGGCATTTGTGCTGATGGCAATGCGCCACAGCTTCAACAGTGTCGACATCCAGTGTTCATTTTTCTTCCAGAATAAGAGAATGCGAAGGAGTGGCTCTTTCGCTAGTTGCTTCGCGTGGGATTGCTCCACCCGCACCGCAGCTGCCAAGTCATCAGGCAAATCCCAACCAACTCGAGCGTACAGCTCGCCGAAAAACAACTGGCCATACTTCATGATTGCGCTGGATGGCACCTGCAAGGTGTGGTTGACACCAAACCAAAATGGCTGGAAGCGACCGTCAATTTCCACTCCCGCGCCTGAAGCTTAGCTGGTTCGGAGCCACAGGACTGGCGCAGTGATGCGAGAGCTGCTTTCTCGGAGTCGTGCTGGCCAAGCCTGAGCTTTGAGCTTGAGATTGAGATTCCTTCCTGGGGCACTTGCAGTTCCTGGTTTAAGTTTGTTTTTTCCGGGGGCTCTCCAAAAGACAACTCCAAGTGGCACTACACCGCACTTGTCAACAGCCAAGTACTTCCCAGAAGGCAGCAAGCGCACCCCATCATATCGCAAGTGTAGGAAGTGCTCTCCAGCGAGCACTGGCGGGCTGAGCTGATTCAGGGGCACAAAAAGCAAGTTTTCCGGGCTGGCCTGTGAAACCCGATATCCGTTTGTAATCAGGGCTGCAGGAACCGTCTTGCCATTGCTTGTTCTCACAAGAGCTGCGCTCTGAAGCTCAAAGTCCTCCGCCTGTAGCCCCTTGCCAAGGACATGCTGGCAGACCCGCAGCAACTCTGCGAGGGCCTCACCCTCTGTGGGCCAAGAGGACTGGACTTTAAGGGTGTCTAGCACGGCCTGGAGCCCCTCCAGCTGAGGAAATTTCACTTGCCAACGGGGCATAGTTTTCCCCGCTGACGTCTTCCAGAATGCTGGGTAAACATAATGGTATTGTCGCGACTGCTGTGGCATGGGGGCACAGGGCAGGGGCCGACGGGCTGCCGCAAACTGCTGCAGAGACAGTGGAGCGAATTCCAAAGATACCGATCCAGCCGTGCGCAGTCAAGCTATTGTGCTCCAATTTCGCTCCAGCCATCGTGCCTGCTCCAAGGCGCCCGACGTCCAGCTGCCAGGCCCACAGACCTCGGGCCGATTGGGTTGGGAGTTGGTCCTGGCTGGTGTCAGCAAACCCGCGCCGCTTGAATTAGGGCGCCAAACAAATGAATTCTCAGGATTTGCTGTGGCAAAAATGGCCCCCAGGATGGCTAAGCAAATCCGCATGACGCCCAAGTTGAGGTTGGCACCCGGCACCTGGCGCCAAACGAATGAATTCTCAGGACTCTTGTGCCGCCCTGGCGCCAAAAAAAAGAATTCTCAGGATGGCTGTGACCCGGCACCTGGCACCAAACCAATGAATTCTCAGGATTAACGCGGCCACCCTAGCACCATGGCTAAACCAATCCTCATGACACCCAAACCCAAATCAGGGCTGGCGCCTGGCACCCTGGCACCAAGCAAATGAATTCTCAGGGGCCGCCCTTGCACACAAAAGAAGAATTCTCAGGAGCTCCCAAAAATGGCTGCCCGAAGTACATGTGGCTGTCTTGACAAAAAATGAATTCTCAGGGATGGCTGTGGCCACCAAGCTCCCAAAATTGACTTCTCCGGATTTCCAGGGTCCCAAAACTCACAGTGGAGGCACCGCTGCCCTGAAAAATGAATTCTCACCTGGCACCCCTGAGTTGGGGTGTCAGCCCTGTCGGCGGCCTAGCCCCAGAAATTGAGTTCTCAGGGTGGGTGTGGCACTGCTCCTGGAGAAACACACTTGGCTGATGCCTCGACTCAGGCTAGAGAAGAGCAGGACCACCGAGTGTGCGCGTGTGGTTGCGCGAGGGGGATTGCCTGGGGAGTGCGAGGGGGTCGCGTGGGGATGGCGCGAGACAAAAAAAGAAGACAGGCAAGGTGCGCCAGGGGGTGCGTCAGGGTGCGTCAGGGTGCGTCAGGGGGGGTGCGTCATCATCAGGAAGTGCGTCCATGGGGTGCGTCAGGGGGTGCGTCATCATCAGGAAGCGCGTCCATGGGGTGCGTCAGGGGGTGCGTCAGGGGGTGCGTCAGGCGCGTGCGCCCGACGCAGGGCGCGCCCGACGTCGGGCGCGC